ATCGTGCAGATCACGGGTTCAACTCCAGGGAACTGTGCAGATACTGTACACAGGTAAGCTGAGGTCAAGGGATCGACCCCTGGGATCTGCATCGGATACTGCCAAAGGTGAAAACTGTTTCATTGTCGAGGGTTCAGCCTCCTCATGAGTCGGTGACACCGTCGAAACAATCTGCCAGCAGTAGCTTTCATTTTTTTTTGGGTCTTGGTTTTCTTTTTGGGACTTGTACTTCTTCTGGTTTGCCTGTTTGGTGTGCTTGCATGTTGTCTGCCCTCCCGCGTCCCGCGCTCCAGCCTATTGTTCACCTCTTGGTCTTGGCATCTCTTTGAGACCTTTTTTTTTTTTTTTTTTTTGGTCTGCCTTTTTGGTCTGCTTGCATGGTTGTCTGGGAAGCTGGTCATCGCAAGCTGCGAATGTGTGTGAGGGAGCTTCAGGAGAAGTAGAGTGCAGCATACAGCATCAGTTTGATTACAGCCTGGTCGGGTGGACCATGTGTAATGGGGTGCTTGGCATGGTATACCGCCATGAGTAGGGTTGAACACACACAAACACGGGATTTTTTTTTATTTTATTTTTTTTGCCGCATTTGAACACGAGCGCCCGTTCAGTGTGTTCAGACGGTGACATAGTCTTTGATGGCCTACTTTTTCTTTTTTTTTTGCTTTACTCAACCATCCATACATCCCGGGCATCTTTCAACCAGGACACGCATGAGGTAAAAAAAAAAAAAAAAAAGGTTTCAATGATAAACATGTGCAAGACACCATCCAGCCACTGGTGACATCCCATTAGATGGCCGCAAAATACAGGACCTGGTGCATATACACTTGAAAGTTTTGTTTTGATTTTCGTTCTTTTTTTCTCTCATTTCCAAGAAGTGGACATGGAAGAAGAAAAACAGAAGGTTCTTTTTTATTGGCCACACTTCCGAACACCAAAGAAATATCAAGTAGTACTCCAAGGGGTTCATTATGACCGTGCTTTTTTCTCGGTCAATGCCAGTGCCAACCCCCTAGAGTACTAAGTCTTGATATGTGATCCAAAATAGAACAACTGCACAACGTCACAGAAGGGAGTCCATATGGCACACTAACCGCCAGTAGTTGACACACAGATCCATTAATGTGAAAGAAAGAACGTAAATCTGCACAATGTGTCTTCCTCCATTACTGTAACAGAGGAGGATACATGTCCAGTTGATGTAGCTCAGTGGTTAGAGCACCCGTTGGACACCCTGCAGACGATTAAAGTAGGGGTAACTGAGGAGTGTAGGGCAGAGCTTGATTCTGCACACGACGGGGTTAATCCTTCCTCACTGGGGAAGCAATCATATTCGTGTTATACAGGGAAGCTGTCTCCAGGGGAGCAGTGGCTGAGGCTCTTCCAGCCCTAATGGGAAGAGGTGTGTGTATAAGTGTTGTAATCAATCTCATAATTGGAGCCTTGGGCACTGGGCCCTTTTTCAAAAAAAAAAAAAAGAAATGTGCATTGTGGTATAAGGTTGCGGGTTCAAACTCCGCGGCCTTGCGCATAGACGCCGGCAGGGCGTTAGAATGACGCACAGCTGGACACACACTCCCCTGGGCTGACGCATGGTACTACTGTTATACCGCGTCAAACGCGGAGACGCAGCCATTGGGGTAGCATGCTTTATGTTCTAGACAGTAAGCTTGGCAAAGGTCTTACGAAGTGGGGGATGGGCAGCCTTCTGGATGGTAGTGTCCAAAGCCAACACTCTCCCACACACGACACGCAACCCTCTCACACGCGCACTCACATCCGTGTTGGCTGAAGACCTTACTGATACCCACTGGGAGGATCCAGCTCACTATCTCAGTTGGATGGCACCAAGAGTGCCACAGGCAGCCATGGGGATTAAACCCACAACCTCCTGAATGCCAATTGCGTGCCTAACCAATTGAGCTAGGACGCTGGATGGCGCCCAGATTCTTCTATCACGGGGGGGGGGGGGGGGGGGGAACTGAAAAACGAATAGCAAGCTACTGAGGACTGTACTAGCAGTGTATCTACCTGTGTTCTACCAGAGGATTCATGCTCATGTTGCACATTTGGTCAGTAGTGGAGCAAGGCCCTCTATCTCCACAGCTCTTGGGGCAAAGGTAAGTTCGTTTCTTCTTCTTTTTTTTTTTCCTAAAGTCAATACGTTTTGTTTTTTCTTTTCTTTCCTTAGTAAGCCCTGGCAACGAGGCAGGGCAGTCTGTTCTAGATTTCGTTACTTCGGCGTAGTAAACAGCAGAATACTTCGATACTGTATTTCTGGGAAGATGTAGTAGAAGAGAAAAAAAAACAAAAGCGAAACCACCCAAACACCAATCGCCCGCCCAGACCCATATAGCCCGCCCCCGGTTTGCAACGGGAAAAAACTCTATCCCTCAAAAGGGAAACAATGGACAGCGCCCTATACTAAATTGCTACGACCTTGACAAGATAACGTACCCTACTACCGGTCTTAGGGACGACTGCGACCGGACCCTATTTTTTGCTGTCGGAGACCCCAAATGAACCCTTCCTAGCGAAGTTGTACTGCACGACCTTACCGAAAATAGAAAGAAATGAAACAACAAAAATGGAACCCACACAAGCGCAGCATCCTGGCTGCGA